ATAATATAATTATCTTTTCATCTGTTCACATCTTATTATAGTTTAATTAAACAATAATATAACATGGTGTCAGGTGTTATCGAACTTTAAATATTTTGGTAACAAGTCATACAATGTCAAAAAGTCGTAAAGTCACTTTAGAAGAAGAAAAAGAAGAAATGTCTACTGGTTTAACTGGGAATATTCAACCACTATCTTTAGATGGTAATTTATCATTAAATTGGTCCGAATGGATACAAGAGTTTAATATATATTTGTCAGCTACTGGCTATGATTCTCTTAGCGAGCAGAGAAAAGTATCTATTTTTCTACACTTTATTGGAAAACAGTCACTTAAAATATTCAATTCATTTAATATTGATATTAATAAAGCAAAATTAGAAGAAGTTATAATTTTATTCTCTAATTACTTCATTCCTAAAAAGAATGTCACCATTGAGCGACATAAATTTTTTACTCGCTTACAATCAGTTGATGAAAGTATTAGTGAATATGTTGCTGATTTAAAAAACAGAAGCATGTCATGTGAATTTGATAATCTTCGAGAAAGTCTAATTAAAGATGTGTTGATTTTTGGTCTGCATAATAAATGGCAACAAATAAAACAAAATTTATTGAAAGAAGATGGATTAACATTAGACAGAGCAATGGAAATTTGTACTTCAATAGAATTATCAAAACAGCATATGGAAGATTTGGTTGTTGGTTCAAAAGAGGAGAATGTTTTAGCAATACAGGCAAGGAGAGAGTCAAATCAAAAAAGGTCAGATAACAGAAACCAAAGAAAGTCATCACAATCACTAACAAGGTACACTAACTTTAAAAATACTTCTAATGTTCAAAATAACAATACTTGTACACGTTGTGGTCAAAAACATAAATATAAATGTCCTGCCATAGGTGTTAAATGCAATACATGTAATCGTTTTAATCATTTTGCTAAATATTGTAAATCAAAGGCTGTTAGAACTGTTATTGAGTCTCCTACTGATAACTTTTTTATAGGTACTATTAATACTAATGTAAATACTGTTAATAATAATGTTGAAAACAATTTAGTTTGGTTAGTTGATTTGTATATAAATAATGAGATTTTAAAATGTCAAATTGACACTGGTGCTCAGGTTAATATTATATCAATAAATAATTTTTTGAAACTTAACTTAAAAGAGTCATTGATTAATAAAAATATTAAAGTTAAATTGATGTCCATACATTCTAAAGTAATACCAGCTGTGGGTAGCTGTAATATTAAATGTGGGTACAAAAATAAATTTGAAGATTTAGTTTTTTATATAGTAAATTTTGATTGTACTACTATTTTAGGTCTACCAACTTGTAGTAAATTAAATTTAATTCAACGAATTAATTATCTAAGTGATAGTGAAAATTTTACATTAGTTAGTTATAAGGATATTTTTGAAGGTTTAGGTAGTCTGCCTATTAAATGTCATATCCATGTTGATCCTAGTGTACAACCAATTATAGATGCACCTCGCAAAATTCCTTTTTCTTTGTATAGTCAACTTAGTGAAGAACTAGAGATAATGTGTAATAATAAAGTTATTGAAAAAGTTACAAAACCTACTTCATGGGTGAGCTCTATTGTCTTAGTAGTTAAAAAGAATAAAAAATTAAGGATATGTCTAGATCCAAGAAATCTTAACAAAGCAATTAAAAGGTCACATTATCCACTTCCTAATTTTGAAGTAATAAAAACACAACTGTCTCAAATTTCTTTTCTACTCTTGATGCAAATTCTGGTTTTTGGATGATACCTCTAGATGAAAAATGTTCTAATCTTTGTACAATCAATACTCCTTTTGGTCGTTATAAATTTTGTAGATTACCTTATGGTCTAAATTGTGCGCCTGAAATATTTAACAGAATAATGACAGAAATGTTTTCGGATATAGAGGGTGCTATTGTGTATATTGATGATATTATTGTCATGGGTACTACTAAAGAAGAACATGATGAACGTCTTAAAAAAGTGTTTGAAAGANCTAAAGAAGAACATGATGAACGTCTTAAAAAAGTGTTTGGAAGAGCTAGGGAAATGAATTTAAAATTTAATAAAAATAAATGTAAATTTGGAGTTACAGAAGTTAAATTTTTGGGTCATGTCTTTAATAATCAAGGTGTTTCACCAGATCCTGATAAAATAAAAGCAATTATTAACTTAACATTGATAATGTTTTATAAAAATTAATTAAATTTTAATCAATTCAGTTTTATGAAAAATCATTATTTAAACAAAAATTGAGGAGTGTGGTATGTTGAATTAATAACTCTGTACATTCTTATTCTTTGCTACAATAATTATATATTATTTCCTTTCTTAAAATGTCTACCAGTCGACTTACGTGATTTTTTCACAGAAGTAGATTTTTGTTTAGCCTAATTTTACTTACTTTTTAAAAAATTAATAGTTCTCATCGAACTATTGATTTTTTGGAAAATATTAATGTATCGAAATGAAATATAAATTTAACACTAAAAAAATTCACAATATATAAAATTTTAAATATTTTAAATAATAATTGAGAAATATGTACTGTCAACCAAGTTGCATTATATTATAATGAAAAATACACCTCATCTAAACAAATGATTTTGGTTTCCATTATTTTGTTATATAAATACTTTATATTTTTTATGAACGCATTTTAAAGTTATCAGGCTTTTTTTCGTAAGTATTTCAAAAATCAAAAATGAGAAATCACTTCTTAATAATGTAATTAAACAAGCAAAAAATGCAACACTAAATATTATTGTGATATAAATATTAGTATAACATACTTGAATCTAAATAAACTAAATTAGGTATTTATTTAAATGGCATAAAAACATTCTCTACTTGACGTACCTAAACCATAACTTATTCTACACCGACAATTTAGAAATTATTCTATACCCTGTTCAATTCGAGGATACTAGTTGGTTAGCGTACTAAACCGCAAATTTAATTAAAACGTCATGGCAAGGATGTAATAATCCAGCACAACTGGACAGAAATGGTTGAAGCATTCTCTACTTTTTTCTCTTCCTTTATTAGATTTTAAGATATAATAATTTAGCTAAAAATAAAATACAAAAGCTGATTTTTAAAAATTGTATCGCCTAGTCCCAATTCTGTAAAAGAGTTACAGCGTTTTTTGGGAATGTTGAATTATTTAAGTTCCTATATTCCTAATTTAGCAGATGAAACTGCAAGTCTACGCTCTTTACTTAAAAAAGATACAACTTGGCTTTGGGATGAAAATTATGAAACTATTTTTAAAAAGGTAAAGCGGTGTATTACTACACCACCTGTTTTGGCTTATTTCAATCCGTCATTACCAATTAAACTGTCCGTTGATGCTTCACAATTTGCAGTAGGTGCAGTAATTATGTAAAGTAATAAACCTTGTGCTTATGCTTCACAGTCACTTAATATGACACAACAGAACTATGCACAAATTGAGAAGGAGCTGTATGCTATTGTCTTTGGGTGTCAACGATTTCACCAATATTTATATGAACAAACTGGAAACTGATCACAAACCATTAGTTACACTTTTTAATAAACCTTTACATTCAGTTCCAATCTTATAATTTGAAGGTAGATTACGNGTTGAAAATTCAATCTTATGATTTGAAGGTAGATTACATTCCAGGAAAACAATTAGTTTTAGCAGACACTTTGTCTAGAGCGCCATTACATGATGTTGATACAAATGATCTTGAAGAAGAACTAGTCTTACATGTAAAATCATTCACAGAAAATCTTGCTATAGAAGAAACACAGNTTCACAGAAAATCTAGCTATAGAAGAAACACAACTTGAAAAAATTAAGAAAGAAACTGCAAATGATTTAGTTTTAAAAAAGATTATCCAAGTATATTTAACAGGTTGGCCTACCAACAAAAACTTAGTTGAAGATTGTCTTAAACCTTATTGGTGTTATAGGGATGAAATTAATGTCATTGATAATCTAGTTTTTAAAGGTCATTGTCTTGTTATTCCACATAGTCTAAAGTCACAAATGTTAAACTTAATTCATGAAGGTCATATGGGTATTGAAATATGTAGAAATCAAATTAAAGATGTTCTTTTTTGGCCAAATATAACTAATGATATTAAAAATATTGTTGAAAGTTGTGAAATTTGTATGAAATATCATAAAGGTAATAAAAGAGAACCGATGATAAGTCACCCGATACCTGATTTACCATGGCAAAAATTAAGTGTAGATTTTTTCTATTATAAAAATAAAACATACTTATTGGTGGTTGACTATTTTTCTAAATATGTAGAAGTAACTCTACTTGTTAATGGATCTTATGCAAAAGTAGTAATTAGCCAACTTAAAATTATTTTTGCTATATTTGGTATACCATTGGAATTAATATCAGATAACGGACCACCATATAACTCACAAGAGTTTAAATGTTTTACTAGTGACTGGGGTATTAAACACATAACGACTAGTCCTAATTATCCACAGTCTAATGGATTAGCTGAAAGAAGCATACAAACGGTAAAGAAATTACTGAAAAAAGCAATGGATTCCGGAAAAGATCCTCATATTGCTTTATTACAATACAGAAATACTCCAAAAGGTAAATTGTGTTCTCCAGCACAACTGTTAATGTCTAGAAATCTAAGAACTAAAATTCCTGTCACTAATTCTTTTCTTAAACCTAAACTTGTTAACACTGATATATATAAAAATTTAATTTTTAATANAAAAAAAAAAAAAAGAGCATGTTACATAACTGGTCAGACTGTTATCATTGTTGATAATATATACTTTGTGTCTTGTGTAACTCATATATACTGTCTTATGTATAACTATTATTAATTGTAATATCATGTCTAATTAATTTAATATAATTACTTTTTCATCTGTTCACATCTTATTATAGTTTAAATAAACCATAATATAACACATTTGACAGCCAAATCCATCACATGGCATTTCAACCCACCTTCATCACCTCACTTTGGTGGCTTATAGGAAGCCGGGGTGAAATCAGTTAAGACATTACTACTTCGATCAATTGGTTTACACATCTTATCGTACGAAGAACTGTATTCTGTACTTGTGCGCATCGAAGCCACCTTAAACTCTCGTCCATTATGTCCTTTATCGGAAGATCCCCTTAGTCTCGAAGCCCTTACCCCTGGTCATTTTTTGAACATGTAACCAACAGCTTCATTGCCAGATCCACACTTGGAACAAGTTTCGTTGTCCAAACTAAAACGATGGCGTCTCACAGCAGACATCTATCGACACTTTTGGAATAGATGGCATAATGAATATATCAGCTAATTACAAACTAGATCAAAATGGAAGCAGGAAACTAAGCCTCCTATTATTGGACAATTGGTTTTGGTCAGAGAAAACACTAGCCCTCTTGAATGGAAATTAGAGCGAATAGTTCAGCTCCATCCGGGTCCATATGGGATTGTTCGAGTAGTTACCATCGTTACTTCAACTGGGAAAAAACTTAGACCTGCTGTCAAACTTTGCCCTTTACCCATAGATTAACCTATTGTTCACTATAGCCCATTCTGATATACATTACTAATACACCTCTTTGTTGTAGATTTGCATCTAATTCGAACATTTGAACATTATAATGGCCGGCAAATATCAATCGGCAAATTCAAGATTAGCTGGTCTTGATCATTCGTCCAAACGACGTGTAGCCGACCAAGTATTGGACAAATTGGCTCAATGTCTAACAATGAACCACACTTCGTCGAACTCTATCCACCGGGCATTACTTCACGTCCAAAGAGCTCTATCAACCCTGCAGCTGTTAGGTTACCCTGTGGGTGACTGCGACGTAACTTTAGTGAGGGCTATTGTCAAGTCTATGGATGTTTTCTTATTGCAAGAATGGGAGAAAGTTCTGGAAAGTCGAAATCTTGTATCCTTACCCTCTGTCCATGAATTGATCCTCTATTTACACCATGTGGCATCACTCGCTGATATCGGTCCACTGCAGTCATCCACAGAGCCTTCGTCCATTCGTCCAACTCCATCTCCTTCGCTCTCGTCCATTCGTTCATCTACTACATGTACTGTCTCAAGCCAGCCTACTCCAACTGCTGTTGAGTCGTTTAACCAATCCCAAGAGAAGGAGAAATACACTGTGACCACGGAAAGGTGCCCATTATGTTCGGCCTTCCACCCCCTTCGTACATGTACAACATTTCTTTTAGCCCCTGGCATCAAAAGATACCATATCGCCAAAGAATGTGTCCTTTGTTTGTATTGCTTGTTACCAGGGCACAGGGCGGTACGCTGCAAAAAACAAACACTTTGCCGTATCTGCCAAGGCAATCATTCCCATCTGCTACACATCGATCACAAACCTCTCACTGACTCCCCATATCAATTTATCTAACTTCATCAACAATAGTCACTCTTCATCAACAATAGTCACTCTTCTTCAATAATAGTCTAATCTCAAGATCAACTGTCTTCATCAACCATATTTGTCCAAGTCACATCCATCGACCATCAGTTCAACATCCTTTCAGCCCATTGACCACTGGACTACTTGCCTATCCATTATAAAGGTGCATACCTTTATGGTGGGCGGTATGTTCGGGTGAACGCTCAAGGTGGTCATACTGATAGTGTATCAGCTGATGATAACACTCCACTCATCGGACGCTTGGCCGTTATGGGTTCGTACTTCAATCTCTCGAGATCCGTCGCATTTTTCTTTACTGTTTTTTCGTTTAACGCGGTTTTCTCGCTCTCGGCAACCTAATTTTGTTAATCATAACCATAAACTGTTATATTTTTTTATTGTGCTACTACTAAGATTTTGTCTTTTGTTGTTTCTTTTTTTTTTGTACACGACTGCTAGCTGTTTGTACCTGCAGTGCAATACAAGATCAATTTTATATACTATTAATTGGTAATAATTTCAATATTTTAATCTAATATTTGTTATCGATATACCTTGTGGTTCGCACATTAGCTCACATTGACCATAGGGCACAGTGTCATTTGTATAAAAAAAACTTTGGATATATTAATTCTATACTTGCTTGTCTTAATAAAATCATTTAATTAAATCACTCTCAGAAGACGGTTAATGTGCGACCCCTTAGTTCAATTGTCCAGTAAAATTAAATTTAAAATTTAGTTCAAATGGCAGTTACATTTATTAATTTTATGTTCACTTATAATAGTGTTTTGGCTTGGAACTAGATATATTTGCTCATTGTTATCGCACATGATTTTACATTTATTCATGTTGTAGTACACAGCAAGTCCAGTCCATAAGTCCAAATAATTCAAAATAATTAAATAGTTGAACTGCTCTTTCAACATTGTATCTGAGTTGACTGTCTATTGTTTAATGACATTGTTTGTTACATTATTATTACAATTTAATTTAATCGACCACTGGTCATTGTACGATTAAAGTTAATTCTGTTGTTGGTCTTGACTCATAATTTGTTAAGAATTGTTTTCATCTATTTTGTTTCAATTACCTCTCTTGAACAATTCATTTATTATCCCTTATTTAATTTGTTAACTTTAATGAAATGTGTACATTTTTTTTTGCCCAATCTCTACTAGCTACTTAATTTAATTTGTTAATATAATTGTACAATATAATTGAATCTAAGTCTGTACTAACTATTACTTTTATAATTTGCTAATTGCAATAAATTTACTTTGTTCATTGAATCACTTGTTTCCTTGAATATCCACTCTCACTTTACCTCTTTAGCACATATACAGTCCACTATCACAAATCAAGGATAATAAGTAACTAACTGAACAAAGGTCACAGATAAGGTAATTAGCGCACTGGATTTAGCTAGCTTGCGCACTGTACAAAGTTTTAGAGTAGTAGTATTTATATACATCTTTCATTTTACATACTGTTTTTTTAAATCCGACTATTTCCCTATATACGAGGGGGGTTTAAATCTAAAAAATGCATGTAGAAAGTAGAACTTTTTCAACTTAAATTTTGAAAGTGTTCTGGAAAGTCTGACACTTTTATATATATCTTAAATTAAAGCTAATGTAATATACTTTATTATGCAAAAAAAAATTTCGGACTTTATTTTATCTTCATGGTGAAAACAGACATCAAAGTTTATAAAAAAAATACGATTTTTGTAAAAAAATTCATTTTTATATTTTTAACTTTATAATGCTATAACTTTTTGAAAGATGTATGGATCAATATAATTTTTTTTTTATAGATGCATGATGTCTTTACCTATCATTTGGTATATATTTTATTTATATCTGACCCTTTACCTGCCCACAGGGGGGTATTTAAAATTACCACTTTTTCACAAAAAATTTACTTTTTCAACTTAAATTTTGAA